CAGCGAGCAGAGTAACCCGCCGGTTTTCTCAATTCAACTTCAGCTCCGCGTAGAATGTCTCCCCACAGTGTCCCCGTGTCCTGCGGGCCCTTCTCCCCATGCCCTCCAGCCCCCTCCCCAGGGGTCACAGCCCCACTGCCATAACCTCCACCACCCCCTGAGAGGACTCCTTCGCAATCAACCTCTGCAAAGCAGACAGGAATGTGTGTGTGTGTGTGTGTGTGTGTGTGTGTGTGTGTGTGTGTTGAAACTACCACCTCCATGGCACTGGGAAGGGTTAAGCTCTGCTGCCGCCCGCTCTGCTGGCTGACTGGCTGGCTGTCAGGCTGTGCGTGGGCAAACCCTCGGGTGGGTGAACGTGCAGCACATGTGTGATGTTCCGAGCCCACCATGCCCCACCACCTGGCCTCACCCTCAGCCATATGACACTGGCACCTCCCACCCCCGTCTTGGCGCTAACCCCAACCAGGCTCTTGTACGGGGGTGCCAGGAAGAGCAAACAGAAAGTCCACCCCAGGGCGGCCGCGAGCTGGAGATGGACAGGCTTTCAGTGGACCTGTAGCTAGACCTAGGCCAGCAGCGCTGAGGGCACCCTGCATGTCCCCTGCACTCCTTAGCTCTTCCTTCCTCCCCTGACCAAGAAATGCCCTGGCTGACCTTTTCCCAACTCCATTGGGAGGGAAGAGAAGGAAAGGGCGATGAAAACAAGGTGGCTGAAGATATTTATGTAGAAAGGAAGCAGGCTGAGCAGCACTGTTCTCCCACCAGGAACCAGGCGCTGGTCCTAGAAGGAGGTAGAGCAGGGAGTGGGACAGCGCCTCCATCTCCAAAGCTTACAGCCGTGCAGCTGGTCCTGGTACAGCGAGTGGCTGGTGCTGCCACGTGAAGGTGCTGGGTTCAAGGGAATCCAGTCCTAGGGGCTTGTAGGTGGAGACGGTCAGGGATGGCTTAGTAGATTCTCTACTAAGAGCCCAGAGAGTGGTAGACATGAACCAGGCGAGAGAAGGAAGGAAAAGAAGTCTCTTCATGAAGAGCATGTTCAAAGACCAGAGGGGAGAGTCAGCATGACCTGACGCACACCGGAAACTGAAAGTAGCTCAGCGTGCTCAGGGCAGAGCCAGTGCAGGAGCACAAAGAGGCCCAGAGGTAAGTAGAGACAGTGCCAGAAGGGCCTGGGAAGGGTTGTGCAGGCTGCCATGGCAACTCCTGTTGGAGCAACACTTGGGACCTAGAGCCAGGCAGGCGATTTCCCAGCATACCTCCAGCTCAAGGAGAGGGCTTGCCAGGTTCTCCAAAGGAAAACACAGGACACCCAGTTACGTGGGAATCTTAGAGAAGCACTGAATAAGTTGTGTTTGGTTTGATTGTCTTTAGTGTACATATGGATGTTTGGTGTAGCATTTGGGACACACTTAAGCTCCGAGACTTTTCCTTGTTTAACTAACGGAGATTCAACTTTAAGTGGGTATCCCTTGTTTTATCTGGAACCTTACACCAGGAGAAAACCGAGGTTGCTGTTGGCTGGGGACTGAAGGATGGAAGCGTCCAGGAGCAAGGAGAACAGGCTCAGGACAGATTTGCGTTGTAACCAATCCTCTTGGATTCCATTAAAAAAAATACTCATCGCTGACTTTTGGATGTCCCTGGTGGTACAGTTAATATGTTGGGCTGCTAACCAAAAGGTTGACTGTTTGAACTCACCCGGAGGTGCCTCTGAAGAAAGGCCTGGAGATCTAGCCCCCCTCCCCACCCCAAAATAAACCATTGAAAATTCTGGAACACTGCTCTACTGTGATACACACGGAGTCACAGGAGTTAGAATCGATTAACCATGTTATTTTGAAAATGAATATTAATTTCTTGGCCAGTTTGTCCATCTACCCAGATGAGAAAAACAACACACACAAACAAACAAGCAAAGCTTGGTCTAGCAGAAAGAAACTGAGCTTTGCATCACAGGGAGATCGAATTTGGATATCTGAATCCTTATTTAAATATAGATTCAGTACACCTGGGGTAGAAATGCTAATTCTCAGCAGGAGGTTCAACTACAATGAAGTGAGTTCCAAGGCTTAAAACCCATTTGCCATCAAGTTGATTCTAATGCATAGCAACCCTACAACCCAAACCACCAAACCCACTGCCACCAAGTTGATTCTGACTTGTGGCGACCCTATATGACAGTGTAGAACTGTCCTTGTGGGTTTCTGAGACTGTACATCTTTATAAGAACAAACAGCCTCATCTTTCTCTTAGGAGCAACTGGTGGGTTTGAACTACCTACCTTGAGGTTAGCAGCCCAATGTTTAAAACTACCTCCTAGGGTTTGTAAGACTGATCTTCATGGAAGCAGACACTGTGAAGCGACTGGTGGGTTTGAACCACTGACCATCTGATCAGCAGCTGAGGCACCACTGTTCTACCTTGACACCTTCAAATGAGAATAACTGAAGGTAAATATGAATGGATTAAGAGAGAAACCATGTAAAACATCTGGCTCAGTGC